TATCCTCTATCCTCTTTCATCTCTGTTTGATCTTGTATTCGTTCTTTTCGTTCTTCTCATGATATATGTATTCTTTTATATCGTTATAAAAACAGTTGTTGTTAATTTTACGTTACGAAATAAAGTAGTCCACGTACATCAAGGACATATGTATACATATATCTCTATCGAACCACACATAGAGAGAAGAGAGAACGTTAACACCCACACCCACACCCTGTGTAACAGTATTGATACGTGCTTGGGGAGTAATATGTGTAAAAGTGAATAATTTCATAAGGAAAATATAACATAGGTTGAGTGTGACCGGGTAGCTCAGTTGGTAGAGCAACTCGCCGGTTACGAGGAGACGCGTGGTTCGATTCCCGCTCTAGCCATATCTTTTCATATGGTATATTGGATATATGAAAATGTTCATTTGCATATATTCCCTTCCTGCACCCACACTTGTGTGTGTTGCACTTAATTGTGTAATAATACAGCGGTGTGTTCCAGAGACTTATTTTAATTATAAGTAGATATAGTTCTATGTAGCGATTCAAAATTATATTTTGGATCTATTCTACTAGGACTTTGGTCACTTGATAAGATTGAGTTCGTAACATTCGAAATAACTTGGTTATAGTGGTAACTATATCACACCCACACCCTATTTGATTTTGAAAATTTTCTTTTTGAAATTTTTGAGATCTTCTATACAGGTACTTGCCACTTGACAATATTTTATTGAAAACAATTGAAAAACTTACTAGTTTTGTGGTAATTCTTCACACCCACACCCAAGGGAATATCTCCTTTGATCATTTTTGAAGAAGGGACCTTGGATCATGCCTGGTACATTGAAGAGATGCTTCCGGTGACTCTGAAATATGGAAGCGACGTCTTCGGCAAAGAATGGACTTTTCAGCAAGATGGAGCCAGGCAACACACTCGTCATTTGTCCCAACAATGGTGTCGGGATCACTTTCCAGCATTTACGGACAAAGATCGATAGCCAGTAAATAGACCCGGCCTGAACCCCTTAGACTACTGCATATGGGATGAATTAGCGGGAGTGATGGATTGGGGCAGACTAACATCAAAAACAACTTTGATCTACGAACTGAAACGGACTAAGAAAATAGTTAGACCCGAAATAGTTTTTGAAAGTTGTAATTCGTGGACGATGTGTTTGTCAAGAGTTTTCCAGAGTCATGGAAACTATTTCAATAAATAAGAAGACCTGTGTTCCATAGAATTGTTTTTCTGTATTTAAAAAAAAAGATTGGGGCTCTACGACGTTCTGTTACGGAGATAGCGACAAAATAAGTAGAGGGACATTTATTATGGGACACCCGCTAGATTAATTTCAATATTCAATATCAACAAATTTTTAGAATAGTCTTAATTCATGTTTCTTTAAAAATAAAACTACTTGTACAAAGCCAGCTATGATGAAATAATCGCCAGTATTGAGCTGTAACTTTACCAATTTCGATCTTTTGTTGCTGCATTGCCACATACGCGATTGTTCCAACAGTCGTCCAGTTATTATTATCATAAGAATATTGCAAAGTCCCGCCATTACCGTATTGTGGCCCCCAGTTACTTTTCTGTAGTGGTCCAATTGTTACACTGGCCACTGGAACAGGATATGGAAATGTGGCTTGAATCCATTCGTTACCAGAGTTTGTTCCAGCACCTGTTGTATACTGTCCATCTAACAGTGATTTACGCGTATTTTCGACAGGAACCTGTGGATTTGTGTATGTAGAGGACATAGATAATACCCAATCGTCCAAATCTGAAAAAAATGAAAACGAGTTGATAAATTTATAAGAATATTGTAAATGAACAAGACTAACCAAGATTTAATGTTGTCATTTCCAAATGAGCAGCATCTCCAAATGTATTTCTATTACATGCATATAAACGCAATATATAAGATGTGCTTGGTTTTAAATCTTGAAGAAGATATTTTGTTTCCAAGCCACGATAGACCTAAAAAGAGAACGTAATTATCATCCATCATTCTCTTTATCAACCCTTAAAAGTGTCACTCTACTTTTTATTAATGTCAATAGATTTGCACAAAACGTTGAATGAATCAAAAATTGACAGTAAAGAATAAATAAAGCTATTGTGGTCAAGAATCTTATAGTGTATCCGTTTTTTCTTAAAGTAAATTAAGATTTTTTCTGATTTTACATATAGGAAATACTCTCTCCATATATGGTATATAGGAAAAGTCTTCGCACCATCTCTGCTTAGCAACTTCTGAAAAGTTTCGGTTAAAAACATTCATATCTGTAGTTCTCGGTATTTTGCTGTTAGAAGAAGGTTTAAACTCATGAAGTAGTTCAGTACACATTTAATTATTCCTCAATGAAGTCCAGATAAGAAGTAAATTATTTCTATTCGTTTCGATGGATTTTGATTCTTTGAGGAAGTAGTTCGAATCAGTTATCCAGGAGACTGACAATTTTTACATGGCGTTTCGTAACAAAAATAGTAAAATCAGGGTTTTTTATTTTTTCATGCTGAAGACTTTTTTAGAAATACTATCCATTTTTCATGTTGCTGTTTTAAATTGTTTATTGATTCAATCCCCACATACAACGCCAGAAAATAAACAATTTTCCTAGCAGATAGGAGAAAGGTCCTTTAAACAGTTGTAAGGAATATCTATGAGTTTTTCTTTTCGGAAAATAGTGGTAATAATACAATAGATCAAATTAATTTTTAGGAAAGATAGACGAAAGCATACTTCGTTGAAGTTGTTATTGTTTTGTCCAAGTTCTAATACATAAGCAGTTATAGATGGATTAGATTCAATTGGTTCCCATTTAATATCGAAGTCAACAACGTTTGCTTTACACTTATGCTCAACAAATGATGGTGTAGCTATATATAAAAATCGATTTAATTTCTAATGTCTACAAGAACAACAAGCCTCACGTGGTTTCCAAATGGTTCCAAAAGTACTGATCATTTCGAAAATTTTCTGAATCGAAATATCAACTTGCACCGAGTCAGTCAATTGAGTTTGATGTTGATATTCAACGCTTTCAACTTCGAGATTATTCATCTTTTCGATAATTGCTTTGGACTGAGCTAACGCAGCAAAATCGTTGAGTGTTAATACGCACCGTCCTTCTTCTAAACATTTGTTTAAACTTGAATTTATATTTTTGAGATTATCTTGTCTCAAATAAATATTATCACGATATATCTTAAAAAACTCAATAAATTCTTCAAAATACAGTTGAATCTATTGCCGTACTTTACACTTTTCTTGTAACTGTTCTTTCAATACTTTTCGTCTGTCTTGAAAACAAACTATAATCCGATCAAATTCCGTGTCAATATATTGACTACTTTTATCTTCACTGATGTCAATATCTAAAAATAATACCGTTAAGAACAAAATTTGTATAAAAAATCTTTAATTTTACTTTTGAGTGCTTGTTGTAATTGACTCTGTTCATTCGTAAAGTCAACTTCGAATTTTTCAATTTTTTCAAGATGTTCGCTTAATATTTTTTTTTCCTCGTTTGCTAAATCAACAATTGATTTAACTTGATCACTATGTTGTTTATGCATATCGACCGATAGACATGCAACACAACAAACATCCTGCAAAATAAAATTTAAAGATATTTGATTTTCCTAAAAAAATATCGAGTATGTTATTAAAAAATAACAAATATGAGAGTTCGTTCGCAAAGTTAGTTCAAGTATTACGATTGATTGAATGAATTCTACGTGAATATTGAATTATGCATAATGGTGAACTTTATCAATGTTAAAGAGCAAACAATAATGCTTGAATGTGCCAGTTCTCTACTTGTATTTATTCAGATCCATATAGTTTTAGTATGTCGAGGATGACAAATAATTGAATCATTTAAAACTGTAAACTCGTTTACAATTTCTAAATTACTGGAAAGTGCAAATTTAATTTAGATTTCGCTGTGATATTGTTGGAAGGAGTTCATCGCTAGTCAATGAACAAAAATAACGTCATCTTTGTGTTCAAATCAAACATCTATTTGTGGTTTTTATTCAAAATTTTCGTTTGAAATATTGACCATATTTATCAGCTGCATTGAATTGTGAATAAAAATGTAGCGAAGATGTCCTCGTTGAGATCGAAAAGACACAAAAACTGATCTCAGCTTAGCTAAGTCGCCCAAGATAGATTTTCCTAGAACATAGTCATCATGAAATCTTAATTGATTTACAAAAAAATGTTTTCAACTAATTATACTGTTTTGTAGAACGAGATGGTCTTTCTGTCATTCCTTCACTCGTGCTTGCAGTGATGCGACGTGTTTTTACTTGCCGCTTCTGTTCTGTTATTTCTGCTCTCTCATTTCTACATGGTCCGTTTTCACAAGAATCTAAGTCTAAGACTTGTAGATTCTGGTGACAAATGATCGCCTCAAGTGGAAACTCACATAGTAATATGGAGTTACAGCAACCAGTGTATATGCCCGATGAAAACTCGGTTGTATTTAGAGTGCTAAATAATGTTCCACTGGCTTCTAACAATGAAACAACCAAAGAAAAACAGATAGTCTATTATACTGCTCCAGCAAACATACAACCGGTTTACTCTAATCAGCCATACGTCTGCTTGCAACAATTACCAAACAGTCAAATTGTCAATCAATATTCACAAACCAGCCTATTCGTTCATCATCAGCCTCAACAGCAACAACAACAATTATCACTAAATAACAACGTGGCACTTGCTTGTGCACAACAACCAATGTTACATTCCAACATGATTCAACAACAAGCATTTTTATCCACATATCGACCAGCTGTTAATATGATGGAGATGCCTCCATCATCAATGATAAATCCAACAGTAGCTTCCACGCCAATATCAGCTAGTGCCAAGAGAGGGCGCAACGACACCAGTGGTATCTCAGAATCGAATATTCAAGCTAGACCTCAATATCCACGGATTGCTCGAATTTTCAACACAAACGATACTTCTATTAAACGCCACCGTGGTATGAATGAGCCGATAGTGCAGCCAACAGATAATATATAATAACCTACATCTGCGTCCTGTCGTCTCGCTACTACGCGCTTTCCATTCTCTTATTTTTCGGTTATTTTCTTACAAGAAATTCGAGACAAGAAGGTTATTGATGATCTAACCAAACGTGCAAAGAAAAATTTAAAGCTCGATTTGAGAATGGTAGCTTACAGATGTGGACGTGCGGAAAATAACGAGTGCCGCGTATTAATATTCGTTGAGAATAGCGGATCTTTCGTGTTGGGGTGTGGGTGTGGGTGTGGGTGTGGGTGTGGGTGTGGGTGGGGGTGGGGGTGGGTGCTGGTGGCGTATTCCAGGCAACCACAACCACCCAATCACGTGGACCTATTGAGTCACCGACAGCGTTATTCGGGTGTTGAATGCTTATGGGTTTGCACGGGTTCCTTTGCATTCCTGGTGAAATTCGGGGAGTCAGTTTGTTGTCCTCTTTAATTCCTGTCGGGATCATGATGGATTCCTTGGTGCTTCCGGATGGATACAGAAGGATTCCTTTGGGATACATGTTGGGTTCCTGCCGTTTTCAGCGCCCGGATCCTGCAGTATATTGAACATTTCCAGTACGGTGGAGTTCCGACCCGGAATACTGCTACCGAGTTCCTAGTGTTTTCCCGGCGGGTTCATGCCGGAAAGGTCTAGGAACCTGCAGAAAACGGTACGGAATACCCTGGAAATTAGGCCGGTTCCGTCCGGATCCGGAGGCCGGAATCGTCGCCCTGGGCTTAAGTTAAGGTGGAGCACGTATGATCGCTGAGTCGCCGCTTGCTTCTTATTATTCTTATTATTTTTATTATTTTTATTGTCTTTCTCTATTTCCATGGTGCAGTACAACTGAGTCTTGTTCTTCCTTACTTGCTTCCATCTCACAATGGATAGTCGATACTTGCTAACAGCCGTTTCTTTTCTCTTTTCTTCCTTTTTTGTAGTTCTCTTTTTTTTCGTTCTTTCCGTTGATATTTGCTTCGTTTATTATAATGCTCTCAAGAAATGTCCTCTTTGATTTTTACTATTCTTGTTCGATTTTATTTTATTTCATTCTATTGTATTTTATCTTTATTTTTATTTTTATCCATTTCTTCGTTCTTACTCTAGCTTGGTAATTTTTTTTCTCTTTTTTTTTCTTTGTCTCTCTCTTATTTTATAACAGGCACATTATGTTTCAAGCTCAAATATCCCTTTAGGATCGTCAGGGTCATAGGGTTAACTCATGCATAATAAAAAAAAAAGATTTTTCTGTCTTTTGTCTATACAATATATAACTATTTTATATGAATGACTTATTTTCCCATTTATATCACATATTCTTTATCAGAACGACTAGTAAGCGAATAAAATTAAAGTAAAATTTTGTCAAATGATCTTGAAGGATATTTCGATCGTAGCAGAAACGATTAAGAGTCATGATACGTCTATCTATTGTAAAATTATGAATTCTTCTTACTTTGCAAGATAAACAATATAAACAAAGTGGCATGTCGTGCTTTTGACATTTCATTGGTTTAGCGGTTTTATTTTTCACAATGTCGTCTTTTTCACCAATAGAAACGACGTTATGCGATTTTTGTGATTTAAATGAATGTACAACAGTATTATGTTGATCACAGAAATTGGCATCATCCTGAACACAATACCATCTGGCATTTGCATCGCATTCACTGCATAATTCTTGTTGTTGTTTAGACGCCATTTCAATGTAAAAAGTATATATCTTCTGAAGAGGAACACGACAAAATATGCGTGTGTTGTTAGATAATCAAATATGAGATATGAGACGCAAATTCTTTTTCTTTTTCTGTGCACCATAATCTTTGCTTGGAAAGAAAAATGTTACAAATAAAACAGCACAGCGAGTAATAAAGTGGGAAAATATCATGTAGAGCTGGTCCTTAATGAGTAATCCATATTAACAGTATTTTCTAATGATTATTCACAAAAATACATTCAAATTAAAGATATACAGACAACCTTTGTTGAGCAAATGCCTGCATCGGGTGTGATTCACATATATTTTTTCTTTGCATCAGGCGATCAATCATTTGCAGCAATACCACATCAAATTAGAGCAATATTCGGGTTTGGGTGTAAGGAACGGAAAGATTCGCACCCACAATCAACCATACCCACATCCACCCTTCTCACGAAGCTTTTTCTTCATCGTCATCAATTGGGGTGTGGGTGTGGGGTGGGGGTTGGGGGTGCGGGGGTGGGG